TATATATATATATATATATATATACACATACATATATAATTAGGGCTGGGCAAGTTAAGGTGTTATTATTGCATTAACGCATTAATTGATTAACGCCGACATAATAATTTTTATTATTATGAAAGTCCGTTGCTCACTGGCTCTGAATACACATACAGACAAACCATGGGTCACAGAAGGGGTGGGATGTTGATTATTACTGGCTACTAGACAATACACTACTTTTGAATTCATTATTGAATTTTGTGCATAATGCAATTAATCACGATTTAAAAAAATTTAATCGCTGCCCAGCACTAATATATATATATGTGTGTGTGTGTGTGTGTGTGTGTGTGTGTTTTTTTTTTTTTTATCTGTATACCAAATGCAGTAAAATAGTGCTTTGCAACCTATTACAGAGGCTGTTAATGTTTTAAATGAGGGAAGAAACTTATCCTACACATTAACAGCTCTCAGTCCTAATGGACTTCCTGTCTGTCTTCCTGTCCGGTTGCAATTGAATGATCAATCATGAAACCCAGAGGGGTTTTGGCCTGTAAGATCTGCCACACAGGGGGGAGACTCGAAGAGTCTGATAAACATATCAGCATCAGTGAGCTGTCAGTCAGCCTTCAGGAAACCCCATATCAAAGCATTTTGGGTGGACCTTTTTTAATTGAAAGCTTGGTAATGAGCCTCAGTAAAAAGTCAATTCATCTTGAACTGCTGATACAAACCAAGTATTTTTAACAAAAAAGGGATTTGTGCAAACTTTGTGTTCTGTAAAAACATCAATGCATACAGCCACACAAAAAAACCGAATTGCATTGAAATAACAAGCAAACAAAACACTTTGCCCACTTTCTTTCTTTAAGACACCTTTTTTACTGGTCAATCATTAAATGCCCATAAGAGGTTTTGATCTCAGTGGCAGCTTTTCCTTTAAGCCTTTAGGAATGGGTGGTTAGAGAGTATACATCTCATACAATAAGAGATTTTTTATGACTTTACAACCAGTAGAGATATTTCGTATATAGACGTAATGCAAAAACACAAACAGTAATGCAGCGTAATGAAAACATATACAGCAGAATGTGTCCCAAGCAAGTCAAGACATTGAAAAAAATGGCTATTAAGTTATTAACCATAATGCAAAACTATATAAATGTATGGGGGGAGACTCGAAGAGTCTGATAAACATATCAGCATCAGTGAGCTGTCAGTCAGCCTTCAGGAAACCCCATATCAAAGCATTTTGGGTGGACCTTTTTTAATTGAAAGCTTGGTAATGAGCCTCAGTAAAAAGTCAATTCATCTTGAACTGCTGATACAAACCAAGTATTTTTAACAAAAAAGGGATTTGTGCAAACTTTGTGTTCTGTAAAAACATCAATGCATACAGCCACACAAATAACATGAATTGCATTGAAATAACAAGCAAACAAAACACTTTGCCCACTTTCTTTCTTTAAGACACCTTTTTTACTGGTCAATCATTAAATGCCCATAAGAGGTTTTGATCTCAGTGGCAGCTTTTCCTTTAAGCCTTTAGGAATGGGTGGTTAGAGAGTATACATCTCATACAATAAGAGATTTTTTATGACTTTACAACCAGTAGAGATATTTCTCTATACTGTAGTAGATATTTCGTATATAGACGTAATGCAAAAACACAAACAGTAATGCAGCGTAATGAAAACATATACAGCAGAATGTGTCCCAAGCAAGTCAAGACATTGAAAAAAATGGCTATTAAGTTATTAACCATAATGCAAAACTATATAAATGTATGGCTACCAAGCATGTCACAACCGATGAGGTGTCTGTATTCCTAATATTTTACAACAGCACTGAATGCGGTTCATCAACTAGAATTTAAAACTGGAACAATCCATTTTATAATATTACTACTTTGTTCTCATTGTTACGTAATGTGAAGCTGTTTGTGCACTGATGCCAGACTGAATAATTTGTTAAGCGTAATACTCCAGTTTGTGTCCATCAAGTTCCAAATTAAAAGAGAAAATCAAACGAGATACCTTTCAAAGTACTAAGTATATAGACGTAATGCAAAAACACAAACAGTAATGCAGCGTAATGAAAACATATACAGCAGAATGTGTCCCAAGCAAGTCAAGACATTGAAAAAATGGCTATTAAGTTATTAACCATAATGCAAAACTATATAAATGTATGGCTACCAAGCATGTCACAACCGATGAGGTGTCTGTATTCCTAATATTTTACAACAGCACTGAATGCGGTTCATCAACTAGAATTTAAAACTGGAACAATCCATTTTATAATATTACTACTTTGTTCTCATTGTTACGTAATGTGAAGCTGTTTGTGCACTGATGCCAGACTGAATAATTTGTTAAGCGTAATACTCCAGTTTGTGTCCATCAAGTTCCAAATTAAAAGAGAAAATCAAACGAGATACCTTTCAAAGTACTAAGTACCTTTCGTGTGTGAAGTGTTTTCCCCCCCACTGGACTGTCTAAAAATAGGCTTCACCAAATGGTTATTTAATATAAAACATTTTTTTCTAATTCATTTCCATCCATTTCATTTCCACACATATAAAGTTAGCATTATATAACATTTCTAAACAAAAATATTTTTAGACATAACACCAAACTGATAATCTTATAACATCTTCCTGACAGCACAGAATAATGGAGTCTGTCATCAGTCAATTTGGACTTTAAAATGCACAGCATGTTTATTTTATCTAGATAACGTGCACAACAAAGCTGCTTAACAGCATCAAGGCTAAACTGTTCTGCACCCTAGGATATGTAAATGTAATGTCACACTCGTCTCACCTGTCTTTGCAGCTCCAGTGGCACTGGGTCGTCTGGAACTGCTGGCAGAGTCTCCAGGTTTCTTGGGTACTTTGGGCACTTTAAACGCAGCCTGAGCTGATGACGGCCTGCTTCCATCCACAGAGTCATCATCGTCAAAACTACGATCTGAGAAAAGCAATGAGAACATGAATCAATAGGATATCAAAGTCTGAACATAAAGGCAAAATATCAATAGACCAGCTGAGATCAAGTGCCTCAATTTCTGTTCCAAAATAGACGTAATGCACAATGATGATACGTAAAAACAATTTATTTTTGTACCAACTGTCTCATTCAAATGTATCTTGTTCAATAATAATCAGAATATATCAATAAACAAATCCATTACCACTGAAACCCAAGGCAAGTACAGGTCTGATTTCCTCCCAACCACAATATCATCTTAAGTAGGCCTAATCAATGAACAGCCCAGAACCAGGACCTAATAGAGGCCTGAACAGCAAAAACAGGAAGTATAGGCAACATTAATCACTCAAAACACATTCACACACAAAGAGCAATGCCTGCACAACTCAAAGACTCCACAAAGCCACCCACACACAAGAACAGATTGGGCGCATCCAGTAAAGAGCAAGGCTAGAAGAACACACACAGTCTCTCGTTTCATCCACCGGCTTTTAAAAACACCCCAAACCTCCACGGCACCTGGGCGACACCCTATTTCTGCACTGGTTCAGATGTCAACGGTCATTTGAAATGCCAGCAATATTTCAAACACCTCGAGAAGACACTCACAGTCACAGATGCGTTTGCAGATGAGGCGCCTCATGCCTGAAGGCGGGCGTGGCTCTCTCTCGTATCCGAGGCAACGCCCAAGCTGCCGCTCACATGACAGCGGGTCTCACGGTGGCGAAATATCCCGAGACGGATCAGCAAGGCACGTAACAAGGTTTGCAGAAACCACCACCCAAAAGCTGGTCGGCATCTTCCCTCTCAGTTACTCTCTCACTCCATCCCCCCTCATCTCCTCCTCCATCACTCCCTCCCTCGCACTTTGCTCCTCACCGCCCCCCCCTCCATCCCAGTACCCGAAGAGCCAATCAGGAGAGTGATGACATCATCTTTGACCAGCCAGTGAGCTTTGAGATTTGAGGATGCTTCTCGCATCTCAATGAGGCTTGATTTGTCTGGAGCTCAAGCTAAGCTAAGTAGCATCATGGTGCTGCATGATCATTGTAATTTAAAAGCAAATTCATGGTCAAACACACACATGGTTGAATAAAATGTGTAAATACAGATGAGAACAAAGGCCACACTCCTACAGCTCAGAAAGTGTGTGTGTGGGCAATCACACTGTGACCCCGTTACTAAGCCAAGGGCTGACTGCACTGACACATTATGGATGCTGACCCCACTAGCGGAGCTGAAAGGGCTCTGTGTTTAGCATTATCAGCATTGTAGCATAACCCGCCCTTTGTTCAGACGGGAGGGCGTGAACAACAATCCACCAAGGACGGGCCAATGACGACCCTGGAGAGAAAGATCAAGCGAGAATTAGGCAGGCCAAAATGAACAAAACAGCAACAGGAAGCGAGAGCGAGAAAAAGTGGGGACAAGCTAAAGGGAAAAAGGGGAAAAAGGGAGAAAAGGCAAGGATGGAGCAAGACAGAGAGACAGAGAGAGAGAGAGCTGGCCGCTCTCAAAGGCTGCTGCCATGACAACAAGAGCAGCCCGCATCAATGGATTTGAGACAAAAAAAAGACTGAACCACATTGGTTTGAATTTTAGTCTGCCAACAATGGTTAGCTGAAAAAAAAAATAATGAAAACTCTTCTATATATATAAATAAATAAATACACACACACACACACACACACATACATATATATAATTTTTTTTAAAATAATAAATTATAATAATATGGCTGAATCACATTGGTTTGAATTTTGGTCCACCAAAAATTATTAGTATTAAAGGCTAAATTAATTTACAAAGATTTACATTTTGGTCTGCCCAAAATTGCCAGCTGAAACCAGAAAATAAACGTTTATATTTATCATATTTATATATTTTTAGTAATAATATAATTTACATTATTATTAGTAGGAATGGGGGAAATATTTTTTTTAAGAATAAGCTTTTTTTTTTAAAACCAATATTTTAACCTCTAAAACAGTTTCGATACTTATGAGTATTTGGGGGAAAAGACTGCCCATCATGCAATCAAGTCTGTGGGAAATCACTGATGTGAAAAATTGAATGCTATATAAACCAAAAAATTTAACATTCAATTTTACAATGCACCATTCAAGGAAGGAAAAGATTGCAATATATAAATTCTTAATAACATTTTTAAATATTGTATCGTGACAAAGTTATCAATGTAATGACACATCACCCACCCACATTTTGCCAGTTGTGAAGAATATGTAACAGCAGAGGACATTTAAAAAATAAAATTTTTAACTTTTGACTGCACACTAGTATGTGATGTAGGGGTGTGCCATATCATACCGTCCACGATAATACGGGTATAATTTTTTACATGATAAAAAAAAGTGCCATTTAGCGATATCAATGATATAGTGACGCGATGACGTATGGCGGATATACATTCCCTAGCACGCACAACAACAACACCACAAACCCAATAGGTGTGTTCGACTTGAAGCAGCGCTGCGCAGACTGATCGGTGTATGACATCAAAGTATTGCGAGAGCGGTTCTAGAGCATATTCGAGCGCACACTCTTACCTTCAAAAATAGGCGAGGTGCATATCTTTAGCGAAGCTGTGCGGAGAGCCGCTTCTGAAACGTGCCGCGGCTCCGCTGGTGCAAACACAAGCATTGACTAGAGTGGCCGCGTCGGAGCCGTAAAGGCCCGGGTATACTTAACTTTCCGCGTTCCGTTCCGTTTCGCGCACAGCCGCGTCCGCACTACTTTCAAAGTATACTCAACCGCGTATACTTTGGACGAGCTCGACACATATGCGCAGTACCATCTACTCTTATCTCAACATTCACCTTGCACATGCGCTGTTGTACGGACGGGGTGCGTGGCTCTCCGCGAGCCCTCCTGATGACGAAAATGACGCAATGCGGACGGCCGAAGTACTTTTGGCCTTAACGCGCCACAAAGGATTGGATATTGCCCTTCATTTTGTTTGCACTAATAAATGCTGCAGCCAGCCATCTGCAATCACCAATAAAACATTTTCCCATGTTTTTTTTTTCTATATCGTCATAAATATCGTAATCGCAAATTTTTAAATATCGTGATATAATTTTGAGGCTATATCACCAACCCCTAATGTGATGCATTTCTCACTCAAAACTGACCTGGAAACACAAACTGTCAGTCTAACTGCCATTAACGCTATATTGCTTATTGGTGGGTGGGTGATTGAGCGTTGATGTCTAAATCCTCACTGGTCAATCTGTAACCTAACTGGCTATTTAATCTGGTTATCAGGATTACAGAGAAAAGGAAGCAAAGCCATTTACCCAGAAACACAAACAGCTAAAGAGCAGCCTGTGCAATAAGCACGCAAAATCGTGACAGAAGTACTCAAAATGCTTCATTTATAGTCAACGGACAGACAGCATCTCATTGAGTACTTAAATTTCCAGGACAAGAACTGAAGAGTCTAATAATGGGCAGCCGCGGCAACGAAATGCCCTAGAAACCGGGTCACACTTTCAACTCCCAAGGGACAAAACACACTGACGCAGAAACTAATATAACTAGTATATCACAAAGAGATATTAAGTGGGGAAAATATTTATTTGATCCCCTGTTTGCCCACTTACAAAGAAATTTAATTTTAATGGATAGAGACAGAATACCAACCAAAAAAATCTAGAAATTGATTTGCATTTCAGTGAGTGAAATAAGCAAGAATTCTGGCTCCACAGATTGGTTATGTGTCCATGTGGAACACAGTTTAGTTCTGCCGCTTTAAGAAGTTAAGGCTGATTTATACTTCTGCGTCGGACATACGCCGTAGCTTACGCATAGACGCACACCCATACGCCGTAGCCTGATGTGCACCTCTCCAAAAATCTAACAGCGCGTCAATTCTACGCAGACCGCAAGCGCTGTGATTGGTCTGCAAGAACCCCTCCCCCCATATGTACTTGAGTTTTGTGTGTGTTTATGTGCACTTTAATATATTTTAATGTTACACCTCTTTTATTAAATAAAACAAAGCAAAGAACAAGTGTCTTATCATTTATGATACTACATAGCATTATACATCAGTAAAATCTGACCTCAGAAGACTACAGAGAGTAGTCCGGACTGCTGAGCGAATCATTGGTACAACCCTCCCTTCTCTCCAAGAACTGTACTTATCCAGAGTGAGCAAAAGGGCTGGCAGAATCACTCTGGACCCCTCACATCCAGCACACTCCCTCTTTGAACTGTTGCCATCTGGTCGACGCTACAGAGCACTGAGCACCAGAATGACCAGACACGGGAACAGTCTCTTCCCTCAGGCAATCCATCTCATGAACACTTAACAATAACTGTGGAACACACACTATTTATTCACTCATACACTTATTTATCTAACACTCATACTCAGTCTACACCTCAAATTTGCACATAATATACAGTAACTGTACATACAAAACTGTCTATTGTAATATACCTGCACATACAATTGTCGATTCATGCATTTTTATTCCTTATTTACTTGTTCTATTTTTTATTGTTTATTATCTGTGTTTTTTGTTCGGTCATTGTCATTCTGTTACACTGTGGAAGCTTCTGTCACAAAAACAAATTCCTTGTATGTGTAAACATACCTGGCAATAAAGCTCATTCTGATTCTGATTCAGTAGTTGTCCTCAGCAAACCATGTTGATCTGCCGTGGTACAAGTCCTTGTGCAGATTGAAAGAATGCCATCATCTCCTGTTCCGTTGTTGTCTCCTTTTTGTAGTTTTAAATAATGATTTAATGATTTGATATTTATTTGCCGCCGTCACAGCTATAATGCTTCTCCGACGAGTCGCTTATTCTTCAGCTTTTGCCGTGGTACTGCGGGTTACACCAGCAACATGCCCGTGGACACTGCAGACTAGCGGTTTGCATGTGTACTGCACGTTGACGCGGACAACGACGCAGAAGTATAAATGAAAACTGACGCATAGCCTACGGCGTAGGTCCGACGCAGAAGTATAAATCAGCCTTTACTCCTAATGTCAGCTCGTTAGGTGTATAAGACACCAGTCCACACAATCTGTATCTTCCATTCCAACCTCTCCCACCACCATGGCCAAGACCAAACGGCTGTCAAAGGATGTCAGAGACAAGATTGTATATAAAGCAAGAAGCTTTGTGAGAAGGTCACAACTGTTGGTGCGATTATTCGGAAATGGAAGAAATACAAAACAACCATCAATCGGCCTCGGTCTGGAGCTCTGTGCAAGATCTCACCTCATGGGGTAAGGATGATCATGAGAAAGGTGAGGGATCAGCCCCAAACAACATGGGAGGAGCTTGTTAATGATCTTAAGGCAGTTGGGACCACAATCACCAAGAAAAACATTGGTAACACACTACGCCGCAATGGACTGAAATCCCGCAGCGTCCGTAAGGTCCCCCTGCTTAAGAAGGCACATGTACAGGCCTGTTTAAAGTTTGCCAAAGAACATCTAAATGATTCAGAGAAGGCTTGGGAGAAAGTACTGTGGTCAAATGAGACTAAAATTGAGCTCTTTGGCATTAACTCAACTCGCCGTGTTTGGAGGGAGAGAAATGCTGACTATGACCCCAAGAGCACCATCCCTACAGTCAAGCACAGAGGTGGAAACATTATGCTTTAGGGCTGTTTTTCTACTAAGGTTAAAAGGATGAATTCACCGCATTGAGGGGCAAATGGACGGGGCCATGTACTGTAAAATCTTGGACGAGAACCTCCTTCCCTCAGCCAGAACACTGAATATGGGTCATGGATGGGTCTTCCAGCATGACAATGACCCGAAATATACCGCCAAGGCAACAAAGGAGTGGCTCAAGAAGAAGCACATTAAGGTCATGGAGTGGCCTAGCCAGTCTTCAGACCTCAATCTTATAGAAAATCTGTGGAGGGAGCTGAAACTTTGAGTTGCCAAACGACAGCCAAGAAACCTTAAGGATTTAGAGAGGATCTGTAAAGAGGAGTGGATCAAAATCCCTCCTGAGATGTGTGCAAACCTGGTGACCAACTACAAGAAACATCTTACCTCTGTGCTTGCCAACAAGGGATTCTGCACCAAGTACTAAGTCATCTTTTACTTGGGGATCAAATACTTATTTCACTCACAGAAATGCAAATCAATTTCTAACCTTTATATAATGCGTTTTTTCTGGATTTTTTGGTTGGTATTCTGTCTCTATACATTAAAATAAACCTACCATAAAAATGACAGACCCTTCATTTCTTTGTAAGTGGGCAAACTTACAAAATCAACAGGGGATCAAATAAATATTATCCCCACTGTATAATGCAATATATTCTGATTAAACTCCATTGTTTGGACTTTAAGGACAAGTAGGTATACTCATTTTAACAGAAATGCACATTATGAATTGAAAGAGATGCAGATCATCACTAGAAGAGAGTATTTTCCGGACAATAACTCTGTTGTCGTCTTAATTTTTTTCCAAAATATTTGTAAACACATCTCTACACATCATATACACAAACACCACAACAGCTTACAGTAATTTCTATGCTATTTAATATATAAACGCACTCACCATCTCCATCATCACCCACAGACATGGCTTTAACGCTTCTGAGAAGAGGCAGCTCTTTCACTCTCTCCTTCTCTCGTCCTTCTCTCTCTCTCTCTGTCACGCTGTGTCAGAGTAATGCCGTGACAGGCACAGCTCTCAGCTCCCTCTCTATAACCCTCACCTCACAGCGGCTCCATTGGCAAAGCCAAAGGGTAGGAAAAAAAACTCTTTGAATGTCATCTACTTTGTCTTCTGCCAAATTTAAAAATGACTAGTGAGGAAGTTGGCTGCATGGCAATCGACCCCCTTCCTGTTCTTATACTGAATTCTGGCCAGATGCATCTCAAGGCACATAGCCAAGTGAAACAATCTTTTGGAAGTTCACCAATACTTTTGAGGAGACATTATTGAAATGTGCATGGTCCCTAAGACCAAAAGGAATCTATTTTTATCCATTTAATAGCCTATAGCAGCAGAGGAAAAGTCTTAAATCTGGTTTGGAGTTCTATTAACAAAGAAGTAGTAGCTAGCTAGTTACTACATCAAGAGATACTTACAAACTCAAGGGTCATTAGGTCCTCCACAGTAATAAATAACACCCCAAACTCACATATGTCAAAGGTCAAGCAATACAAGTAAATGTTTCAAAACATGAAGCACTATAATAAATAATTCAGGTAAGACCTAACAAGCAGAGACAAAAGAAGAGGTGACTGGAAAAGTTGGTTAAAGAATTAAACACGGCATATACTTAATTATACTGTTAACTAAGCATGTACTCAATATTCAAGGTTGGAGCAACTGTATGTAAAAATCGATATTATGATATTAAATTATTATAAATTACTTGTATTGTTAATTATTAAATTACTTCAATTATAAAATTAATTTAATACTGTTTAACTGATAAACAATCAATAAATATATTTTTTTATATGTCAAAAAATATTATTAATATTTTTCTATTAATATTACATTAAATAAATTAAAGATTAACACTTAAAAACTATTATTCATCTTGTAAAGGTTACCAGCAAATGTAGGCATCATATTATAATGAACAGTATGAAAAATAGATACTTTTAAGATTTTCCTTTAACTTAATAAATTATTTTGAATGATTTTTCACTGTTAAATAATTCCGATTAAAATTTATATTAAAAAAACTATAGCAAACAACCTAAATATAAAAATTGGGGAAATTAGCATGCAAAATTATATACCCCTCCTCCCAAAAAAACTCTACAATATGGTACAAATACTGAGCAATTTGATTGTTCACTAATCTGAAATCCTCCATGTCCCTCCACTCAAGTCAAAGATAATGCTGAACCCATAAACACCAGTATAAACACATGTTTACCCCCATAAAGTCAACAGCTGCAACCATGGTATAAGCTTGTTAAGTCAATGTAAAACACATAACTATACAAGAACAACTCTACACCACAACCAAATGTGAGCGGCATGAAAAGAGCAGCACAGTGCGATCCGCCTGGAGATCCAGCTCTTCCATCACATGACATATGCCAAACACATCATGGAGATTTCCAAGGCCATGAAAGTCTGACACCATCTCCCTTATTTAGATTCCAACACTCACGTTAAATCTAACTCACTGGAGACCGAAGGGACACAGAGAAATCCAGCATTTAGATGTAGCCAGTCACTTTATGTTGATGTTGATGTATTTCTTTTGGTAAAGAAAAACATGAGGATTAGCATTTAGATGAAAGTAGCATTGTGCTTAAAGCTGGGGCTCAGATGTCAAAGGCTTATGTTCAGTACTGTGGTCAAAGACACTGACAAAGACTAATATTAGCATTGTAACTGAAGCCAATGGAGACAAGTGTTGCAAACAGGATTTAGCGAGTTAACAAACATGGTAAAGTTAACTTACCTTGACTTAGGCTTAGAGCCATGTTCCCCGAATTCAGAACTTCATCAAAACGGCTTAAAATGGTCTGTAACCTGAAACACAGAACAGTAATGGTTTGAGATTACTATTAAAACAATACATACAATCTCAATAAACAGCACATAACTTTAATGTGAATATTTTAGTCATAACTTGCCATCTTAAGCAAGAAAAATTAAGGTATTATGAAAAAAAACAAACAAAGGTATTATGAGGTGTAAATGTGGGCAATATCAAATATACACAATAATTTAGCTGGTGATATACAATTAAGTAACAGTGAATATTAAGATTTTTTAATTTGCCCTTTACTTTTCTTACAAGTACGCAAATGTTAAAGATGTTTTAGTCAGCCCAACTTGTCAGTCAATTTAAATTAATCAATTTAAAATTGAGATTTAAAGATTCAATCGTGGCATCACTCAAAAAGATGACATGAGTGAACAACATTTTTCATGAATTAAATGTTTTAGTAAAAAAATACGTAGGTAAATATTACTTTTTATTTATTACTTAATTGAAATGTTGGTTTCTCCGTGTAGGAAGATTCAATACCGTTCAAAACCTTCAGGTCAGTAGGATTTTGAAAAGAAATTAATACTTTATTCAGCAAAGATGCATTACATCTTAAAAGTGACAGTAAATACATTTATAATGTTACAAAGATTTATTTTTGAAATACATTCTGTTCTTTTGAACTTTCTATTCATCAAAGAATTCTATTTCCACAAATATTAAGCAGCACAACTGTTTTCAACATTGATAATAGTAAGTGATGTTTCTTGAGCACCAAATCAGCATATTGGAATATTTCTGAAGGATCATCAAGAATAAATTACATTTTAAAATATATTAAAACAGAAAACATTTTAAATTATAATATTTCTGTCCCTTTTTTAATTGAATGAGCATAAGAGATTCAAAAAAACATTTAAAAACAATCTTTCCAACCACAGACTTTTGAATGGTAGTGTTCATACTGAATATCAACAAAAGGCTCAAAAATACGAGGATTTCTTTTCTTTTTTTGTAATATCACCCACCCTCATGGGATGGTACAGTGTAAAGACAATGCAATAAACGTGTTTCATTCTCTTTCACTGTGCAACAAAAAGGCCTTCTGAAGTAAAACACATCTTGCACACTTCAAACAGAATAAAACTGTGGCAACTGCAGCAAAGGCCTTAATCTGTCCATCACAATAATGCTGCTTCTGATGAAAACAGAAACAGATACAGACAGGTCTGCCTACACATTCATGCACTGCTGTCAGAGCCCAACAAATGCCACTCACAGAAAATCTTCTGCTAAGTAGCTTTAAAGGCCTTTAATTTACTTTTTTCCTTCAAGCTTAATTTTTTTCGCCATAAAGATATGCATTAAAGGCAATTAATATGCGAAGGCTAAAATAATACCACACAGAAGAACCACAAGCACAGTGATAAACATTGCAACAAATGAATGCATTACAAAAAAATACCAAAATTTAAAACAGCACATTTGCAGTGTGCACTTAAAAGTCATCGCTTAATTACTATCATATAAGTGCCTGCCAGGACTATTTTCAGTGCAACGAACAATTAACAAGACGCCGCAGCCTAATTACTGTCCCTCACCGGCCCAATGTATAGCAGATCAAATGCTAAAGTCCAGCTACAAATGATGCTTGCACCCTGCATGAGACTAAATGATATTTGATAAATGTGCTGGACCAGCAGACCGTAATAACATGCACACGTTCACTTTCTCACATGCAATATGCATGTAAATGCACATTCAAGGCCACATGCGAGATGTTGCATGTGTGTGCTTAACGCAGCGCTTGCAGTCCAGACGAATCTGGCATGTTCTTACACACGCAGAAACATGCACACACACACAAATCATCAATTCCTATTAACGCAACCGATTTAGGATCTCTGCTCTTTCTATTCTATGACACGAGAGGCTAAAATGCAATGAAACAAAGAAAGTGAATGAACAACCAAGAACGAGAAGACAGAAAATGCGACGACAGGAAGAAAGAGAAAAGGGTACAGAGGGACGGCATGCGAGGTCCCACCCACCTGCTCAGACATACTGCCCTTCATATGTGGCCGAGCAGCGCTGAAAACACTCGACTGCCGTGTGTCTGCGCCACGGAAAACTAAGAACTGCCCACCGGTGTGTGTATGTGTGTGTGTGTGTGTGAGAGAGATAGACAGCGCAAGGATTCTATTCCCCTTTACATAACCTCCTGTCTGGAACACACACCAGAGGGAGGGGTTAAAGCTGTGGCGCTCAGAGACGGGGCTCCCACCCCTCCCCCTTCCAGACACGGGTGTGCGCAAACACACACTTAAGCACTGATCGCATTCCCCCTCTCCTCACTGCTGACCCCCGTGTCTTGCCTTGGTTCAGTCGGTTCGGATTGCCCTCTCGCTCTCTTTCCTTCCTGTTTTGACTGACATGGCCCCAAGCTCGCGGCCCTGTCCTTTCAAACCATATCCATGTCAACAATATGCATGTCCTTTCTTGTAGCCGTTATCTCTTTGTCAGATGAGGGCAGCGCAGACACTGAATTACAGTGTTTGTATGTACAGTAGCTTAGAGTGATTTTCGGGCTTTTGTGCCCACCCTCGAGTGTGGGGATCAGATCATATCAATCAATGTGATGTGATGCAACAGGATTCCAAAGGCAAAGTGTAAGAGACAAACAACATCGGACCCTCATAAAATTATACATGCAGAAAGAAAGTGTGAACTCAAATGCTCTCTACTAAATCATGTATATTTGTTATACAACATTTGTTATTGGACCGATTTAGTTTTTCTTTTTTAAAGCAATATTGCATATTGTTCAAAACTGGATATTTAATAGGGATCTACTGATAATACAATTCTGGCTTATACAAAGAGCAGTAAAAATTATTTTTCATTTCCTGGGTGATAAATGCTAAATAAGATCAAATACAAATTTAATAAAATAAATAAGATGAATAAAATTCTATACTAATTTAACTAAGCTTTTTTATTATTAAAAATAAAGATAATAATATATCACTTAGCCCTAATATTCAAGACACCTTTATTTATATAGCACTTTATACAATACAGATTGTTTCAAAGTAGCTTCACAGTATTAAACAGGAAAATAACAGAATTAATGATGCAAAGTTATTAAATATGAGGCAAATTCTGCTGTAAAGCAGCTATACTAGAGACAGTAGTGTTGTTATTCAGCTTGAGTCAGTTCAATGTGGATTCAAATTAATTCAGTAAGTGTCGATGCTGCAAAATGTATAAATTATTAACAAATTCAAATCAGATATAAATCAACTATACAGAAGTATTTAATATGCCTCGATAGATTTTTTTTGTATATAAAATGACTTTTTAAAGTTGCAGTTGTATTGATTTATATTTTTCTACATTATTTTTTAAATTGTTAAATATAAGTAAAATATATTTGTGCATATATAAACTTTTTAATTTAAACAAAAAAATATATAAAAATGTGTGCACATACATATATGTATAATTAATTTACATTAACATTATTTTCAGAAATGTATTGGTATTTGTTAACAACATGAAAATATATATCAGCTTTTTTTTTCAGCCAAAATATGATGCACCCTTAGAAAAAGCAACGAAAATGCACAAATTACAAATCAAATAGACTTTCACATATCTTTCGCACGGGCAGACACATGAACTTTTGTGTTCTTGACCAGCAGTATTGTCCGAGATAATGTGTCAGAGTCACAACCAACCATGTCACACACCAGACAATCTGACACATCATACCATAGCTATGGAAACCAGGTGGAATATGTGGGTCATTGCAGACCCCATATAGTTCAGTTTGTGTTAAAACATCTGGACTACTAAACATGAATCATTCTGAACTTTAAATCTGATTCCTGGGAGAATTAATATAGTGCAAATGTGCCAAAATCTAGGACCATGAAATCATAAGAGGAAAAAGAAACAACAACATAGATTCCTCCTGAAATGAATCCATTATGTACAACAACAAAAAAACTTGATTCAGCATCATCAACTGGCATTAGAAAACTGATCATGAAATGTTGATGTCAAGATGCAGCCAATGGAGTCTGTCCAAGCGCCTTAAGGGTCTTACATCAGACAGAGTGGAATGCAGGAGTATTAGACATTAGACACAGTCTTCAAAAACTCAATTTACCACAGATCAACAGTGCACACTGATGTCAGCCTGCAAGATTTTATCAGATTATAAGGAATCCTTTTTTAAACAATGTAAATAGACTGTCATCATTCTATAAAAGGAAACCCATGAGTTAATTTCTTGGAATGTATACAGTACAAAGATTACAAATAACCTGCTTAGAATGTTCAGACTGTAATAGAGTGCACATACTGACATTTTCAATAGAACTGCAAAGACTGACTAATAAATCGAGTTCTGTAATAATCTAATGCCGTTTCTGTGCTCTTTTATTCAATCAAAAGGCTGATCTCAACTCAAGAGAAAATGGTCAAGTAATCCATTCAATGACTTCTGTGTGGAAAGATAATTCATGTTCATAGGTTCTGATTTACAAAAAGCTTTTATGAATAAAAACATGCAAGATTTTTTGCAAACACAGAAATGTCCACTCTAGTGTATTAATGTAGTCTAGTGTAGATGTAAAAAATATATATATGTATTTCAAATCTGATAAAATACACTCAAAAAATAAATAGGCTATACGCTAATACATGCATATGTTATGCTGTCATATTTAAATGAATAGCCTAGTTCACCCAAAAATTTTAATTTGCTGAAAACCTTCAGGCCATCCAAGATGTTGATGAGTTTCTTCATCAGAAAAGATTTTTAGAAATTCAGCACTCCATCACTTGCTCACCAATGGATCCTCTGCAATGAATGGGTGCCGTCAGAATGAGAGTTCAAACAACTGATCAAATCATCACAGTATTCCAAATGACTCCAGTACATCAATTAAGCTCTTGTGAAGCAAAAAGTGTAATAATAAACAAATTCACTATTAAAATAAACAAATTCACTATTAAAATAAACAAATTCACTATTAAGGCCTAACTTCAAATTGTTGCATCCGGCTAAAATACAAAGTCTTCTATCCATAATATTGCTTTCTTCAGTGAAAAAAAGTCGTATCTCCTGATACAGGAAAGTAATCTGAACAGATAAAGCACCATTCACAAGTGTCCAAAAACAGTCCAAAACAAAACAAATCTGATGTAAACAAACATCCCAGTGGATTTTGATGTGAGAGGACAACAGTGGATGGATGTTTTCACTGGAAGAAGCATTATCATTATTATTACAGCTAAAAGTCTTAATGATGCATTTGTTTCATAAAAACGTGCAGCTTTTCACTTCACAAGATGTTAACTGATGTACTGGAGTTATGTGGATTAATTGTGGATTATCGTGGTGATGTTTCTGACGGCACCCATTCACTGAGGAGGCTCCACTGGTGAGCAAGTGATGTAATGCTAAATTTCTCCAAATCTGTTCTGATAAAGAAACAAACTTATCTACATCTTGGATGGCCTTAGGGAGAGCAAGTTTTTTTAAATTTTCATTTTTGGATGAACTATTCCTTTAATGGTCATACCTAAAATCACTGGTTTTTAGCAAGAACCACAAATGAGCAGCACTCTTAACTTAAACACAATTACCACATGCAAAAGACTCCTTTAAATATAGGTGTGTCCAATCTATGTGAATGTGCTGCCATTTGTACAATTCTTCATAATAAATCACCCACAATACGCCTACGATGTGCACAAACAATCTGGTAGATCGAAGTCATTAAAACTGACTCATGGAGTAATTATACCATTCCTGAAACTGTCAACACAACTGTGGTGTGGGCATAACACGTGAGTGGGTTTGAGACGGAATGATGCTTGCTGGCTTAGCACAGTGTCATTAAATTGATAAAACTAAGATTTGTAAAAAGCTTGTGGGTTGAACAGTAAATCATACTAACCGTGCAGATGGTAGATCTCTTTTGTTGAGGTCTGCCCTCACTCTCTCTCCCACATGCCGATACACCTCCACTAGGGTTGTTATAGCTGCTTCTCGTACCTGTGGAACACAAAACACACTCTTAACCAAGAAACACAACTATAGATTGATCTTATTACAGTCCCTGTCACACAGAAAATTCACTCATTTTCAATGAGAGTTGGTGACATGCAGTATCATGAGTGACAGCATCCAATTAAATTGCTGTCTATGCGAATGCTGATTGTTACATAATATGCTATTATTCATAAGTTTGGGGTAATATTGTGAAATGCACACCAAGGCAGATTTATTTGATCAACAACACAGTAAAAACAGTTATATTCAGAAATGATATTACAATTTAAATAGCGGTTTTCTATTTTAATAAACTGGCAAATTGGTGTAGGATTTACTTTGGAATTATTTACCAGAAACTACTAGAAAAGTGAAAAGTGAGTGATTTAAAGAAATTACAAGTAACATGTTAAATCAAACTTGAAATTTTTAAGACTGAAATAGTACTTTCTTATAAAACACTCAATCTTTGTTTAATTTGTAACTTTGAAAAATCATTTTACAGTGTATATTTTAGCATTTATTCATGTGATGGCAAAGCAGAATCTTTCAACAGCCATTACTTCAGTGTCACGTGATCGTTCAGAAATCATTCTAATATGCTGATTTGGTGTTTAAGAAATATTCCATGTTAGCATTGTTGAAAGTTCAAACTAACAGCATTTATTTGAAATAGAAAACTTTTGTAACATTAAAGATGTCTTTACGGTCACTTTTGATCAATTTAATGCATCCTTGCATTAATCTTTTTCTAACAAGAGAGGAACGATTGGGACTGATCAGCCAATTTTTTTCTAAAAGATCTCTCTTCTTCTCATTTCTCCCATCTCAGTCTCTAAATCTAATGCTCTTCTCTGTGAGTGGAACATTCGCCCAGCGGGAGCTTGAACTCAGCTGTACATGTCTAGAAACCTAACATTAGCGCGGACTGCCTCCCTCCCTCCCTCACACACATACACAAAGGACAGAAACAGAGTGTGCACCCAACTCGCTTTACTTTTTCACACACATTCCAAGCATTACAAACATACACAGACTCAGATTAATACCTGGGGGTTTTGGTCTCCTGTTAGCGAACAGAGATGTGGAACAAATTTACTCAAACTCAAGGGCTGAGCGCCGTAACTGAGAGAGAGACAGAAAAACAAACAGTTCACAGCAAGTTCAAATTACCATGCATGTATATACACACAGTTGGAATCATAAGCTTATTTTGCATTTTAAAAAATACATGCTTCAGCTGTTGTCAATGAGCATTGAACCCCACTGACTTTCAGTGAATGGACAAAAAAAAAAAAAACAAACACTGAGATATTTTTCAAAATAAGTCCAACAAGTAAATTGGACCGACATAAGGTTGAGTAAACAATGACAGAATTTTTCATTTTAGGCTGAACTACCCCATAATGTAATACAAAACCCAAAGAACTGCAATTTCAAATTTGTTTTGTAATTAAAGCAAACTATATTGCACACAACATATTATTATTACAATAACAATGTAGCATAAGGCTTTTTAGATAATGTGACAGCTCTTTTGTGTCAACAGTGAGGCATAATGTTACTGAGAAACTAGTTTTGTTTGTATGCGAGTGCTTCAATGAGAATGTTAATCTGTTAATCTGACCATCCTGGTATCGATACAGGCAGGTAAGAGGATTACCTCAGTGGGCCGAGTTTTTTACGATGTGTGACAGACAAGAAACCTGTATGAGCGAATGTCTGTAGATTGCATCTAAATATCAGTGAATTTAGATGTCAAAACAGGTTGCAATGTCTGAGATGCTATCGGTGATAAACCCAGGGGATTTGATTGCATCAAAATACTGTGATATGGAAAACAAGTGCCCCCTGTTGGACAAGATTTCCAGGAAAAATGTGGGTTTGTTTACAAAGTGAGAATGTATGGGATTGAATGAAGGACTTACGCATTTAGTGTGGCAACCAAGCACAAGCAGAGTCCCTCTCTACTGCGGAAGTTTTTGTGTTTGAAGCCAGGACACAGCCTCTCCCAAACATACTACACAGAGACAGAGAAAAAGAAACAGTGTAACTGGTTCGTTACATATCCATTACTGCAAAAGCAGAGAGAGAATGAGATGATGAGCTATGAAGGAAATGATGAATCACTGGCAATAGTAACTGGCAAAAAGGATTCAATTTTATTCTATTCACCCAGCAGCTCTCACACACACACACAAAATCTAGACGGTGGCTTTATGGTTTTGTTGTCTGTATAAATGGGTGTGATGATCTGCCCACCCGCTGTACAGTTAGCTCACCATGGGTGTTGCCGTCTGCTCCATCAGCTTCAAAATGAGTGCTTGTGCCTGTTCTCGAACCTGATCCTTTGCATCACCCAAACGGTCAACTAATGCAGGCACCACTGAGTGGGGAAAAAAGCGAAAAAGAGGTTTAAAAGGCCATCTAAAAATGTAGGGCTGCACAATTTAAAACGCAATGTTTTTCAAAGAAAAGCTCCAGGTTTGCTGTACTTGCTTGTACGGTCCCATATTTTGTAATTATATCAATATGACTATAACACTACTGCTAATAATAAATGGAATAAATAATATGAACAATTTCTATTGCAATATTTACATTACAATAGTAATAAATTGTAATATATTATGATTTAATATTTTACTGTAAAAAAATTAAGAAAATAATAATTATTATTGATTATTTGATCCCAGAATCCAATATGCACATACAACCATTTGTAAACCAAACATAAACAACTCCCCCCCCCAATATGTTTTTAAACATCCCAAAGCTTTAACACAGTCTCAACTAATTGGGGACAAAACTATCTGTTTGGTCGACCAGAAATGTTAATTTCTACTTTTTTTTGTTATGGTCACGTTCTACATTGTTGTACACTAGGCAGACTCAAACAGACTCTTTGTGTTAAGTCATCTCATTCCATTCTCTATACTCCGTTTGTTCCATGTTTTCAGATGAATGAGGTATGATGAGTGAGGGGGGTCATCTGCTATAATCATAACAACCCGTTCCCATGGTAACAGGAGGAGGCGGGGCTCAAACAGCTGAGAGACAAGCACTGAGTCTGTGGATTGTGTCATATACATGGCAAATCATCCAGGCATTCCCCTTTCTGCTGATTAGGCTATGCAATGGAGAAGATCATTATCTAATGCTACCTTTTTGAAGCTCTGACTTCAGTGGAACAAGCAACAAGTGTGCGCACATCGCTTACCTGTGCCGATATAACCTCTGAAGCGATCAGTCATTCGATCCACAAATGCGCTGACGATATCGATCCCCAGCAATGCAATCTGACACCAAACAAGCAAAAGACAAATCAGCTGAAAACGTCAAACCTCACTCTTCCTCTCTCGCAGGCAAACTGTAGGACAGCATTTTCAAACACATGATTTTGCTTATTCGGTATCTGATACAGTATCAGTTACAGAGCTTTGTGTTGATGTGCGCTATGTCTTTAAGGACTATTGTTATTGTGTGAGAGTGGGTGAATGAAAATAAGACATTGTGAGACGGACTATATTTGAGGATTGCGGTGGGATCGCTGCAGTGTGTTTCTTGGCAGTGCAGGATGGAAGTTCACATTCCAGAGAAACAATCAAATATTCACTACATCCCAGAAGTTCCAGTTATGACCTATTTTAGGCAAAGCAGCCAGAGAGAGTCCTGAGTAAGGACAACAGAGAGAGTGCACCTGAAAGGCAAAACACCTGGGTGTTTCATTTTGGAAATTGTTTAAATGCGTTTTAATTGGACAGCGTTCAAATACACACTTTGCAATGAGTTCAGCCACACTTTAGGGATTAACCTAATTTCTTTAAGTTGATACAATCAGCAAGCATTTCTGGTTTCTTCCCTTGTGTGACTTATGGAGAAAATGTGCGTGTAAATCATGTCCATTCTTAGATCATTTCTCATTGAGCTTTGTCAGCATTTAACTCTACATAAACATTTTTCTCGACCTGTTCTTACCAAAAATGGCACCTCTATAACAGATATATTATACAGTGGTGTGAAAAAGTGTTGGCCCCCTTCCTGATTTCTTATTTTTTTGCATGTTTGTCACACTTTAATGTTTCAGATCATCAAACAAATTTAAATATTAGTAAAAGATAACACAAGTGAACACAACATGCAGTTTTTAAATGAAGGTTTTTATTATTAAGTTATCTGTGACTAATATTTAAATTAGTTTGATGATCTGAAACATTAAAATGTCACAAACATGCAAAAAAATAAGAAATCAGGAAGGGGGCCAACACTTTTTCACACCACTGTAGTTCAGAATAAAAGATCATCATAAATGTATAGAAAATTGTGATAGCTCTAATATATATTACCGTTTAATAGTTTGGGGTAAGATTTTAAACATTTTTTGAAAGCAGTCACCACGACAGCATTTATATGATTAAAAATACCAAAAATACCATAAACAATTTTTTATTTTAATATATTTTAAAATATAAATATTAATAACCAATATTAAGAAAATGTAGTGTTGCATATAAATATACACAAATATAATATTGCTATTAATAAGTATGCATTTAAATATAATATTTTCATTAAAAAGTTTAATTATAATTATGCATTCATTGTAAAAGTGTAAAATTTGTTTTAAATGTTTTTAAATATCTCTCTTACCAAGGCAATTATATGATTAAAAATACAGTGGAAAAACTGTAATATTGTGAAATATAACGTTTTCTATTTTTAAATATTTTAAAATGTATCTTTCCAGGATTCTTTGATTTAAAGAAAAAAAAGTTAAAAAGAATACCATTTATTTTAAAAATAAATATTTTGTAACATTATAAATGTCTTTGCTGTCACTTTTGATCAATTTAATGTGTACTTGCTGAAAAAAGTATTAATTTCTTTTTTTTAAAATGACTGACTCCAAGACTTTAAACGACTGTGTATATTAAATAATTAAAAAAAACTAAATTTACAAAAATATTTTAGTGGAGAGATGAAAACGGTCTACCAGATCTTCAACCAGTGAGCCAAAGAATTTGACACCCTGCATTTATCAAACCACATACATTTGTAGAAGTCTGCAGCTGTGTCTCCAATTTATGAATCACCCTCAATCATTTCTAAAATCCAACCTCAATGAGTCTGATGTCATAGCCATCCATTAACATCAGTCCCTGAAGACCACAACTGAACTACCAGCTGAAGATAAAACACAGATGAATGTCTAAAGCTGCTTTTAAAACATCAATACTCAATCATGTTTGGTTCCAGGCTTCCCGTTTCAGTGTCACTGTTTGCAGAAGTGACCATTTTCGCCTCAGCCTTGAACATTAGCAGCAGCATGAGCCAGCATAAAAGCTTCTGCTTGCATCCACTGGCCATTTAAACATGACTCACATGTATCTCCAAACACAAATACTTTTTCTTAATCAACATAACACAACAAAAAGCATATGTAAATGGATTACTCATAGAAACTGCAGTGACATGTGCCATTACAGCCTCAGTGTAACAGAACAATACCCCAAGCGACCCTCCCCCATCCTCACAACACCCCCCACCAGCAAATCCACTCTCTCCTAGACACAAATGAATATGTAATATATGTACATTGATATTAATGTACTATTTGAACACTTTTTACCTAAACACATACACAGAAGCTTCTCATAAATACAGTTATATTAGCATTTTTTTTTCAATCAGTTTGAAAGAATGGCACAGAAATGAATGCACAAAATAGCATTAACCTGATGCAATTAGTGATTTGCATGCAATAATAGACTTTATGAGAATAAACGGCTGGGTTTGGCTCAAGACTGTCACCCCAGAACAATGCAGGCATCCTTCATAACATATGTGCCAAACGGCTTATAACACAGCTTTTATGACACTTAATTTAAATATAAACCCCAAAGCAGGTCACACGCTATGTACCTTGTAATTGCTGGAGTTGACCCATCCCGTCAGCTCATCCATGGTTTTATCCAGGCGGGATTTGTCCTGATCCACATCCCAGGACCTCTGCGGGTCGCTCAGATAGTCTACGAGATCCGGGCCGACCTGCAGCCGCCGGGTCACGTCCTTCTGCAAAACCTGCTGGTAAAAATAGTCCATGTTGTCATTTTCCTCCATCGGGACGCTTTGTGGTCAGTCCTCAGGTTGCGGCGAAACAATAACAACGACAGAGTGGCTGTCGGAGTCGCGTAAACGGCACGAGAAACTGAAATGTGTGCAACGAGGAAGTCAAATACTGCGTTTAAAGACACTCGGAGGGTGGTTAGGTCTGTTGTTCAGTGCATTAACTATGCAGTAACGGAAAATAAACAACTTTGTCAAAGTTTTCCAGAAACAAAATGGTTAATCCCCCGAACAAAAAGTGTGTTTCCACTAAATAACAAAGTGACGCAAAGCGAAGTAAAAGAGATCCGAGGCGAGGCGAGTATAAAAACAGTGGAAATGTATCCGACCGAGTGCAGGCAGTCTCGGCTAACTGTGCTAGCTTTAACCCTTATGGTCGAGTATCCTGTGGCCTGCCGCGGGGGCTCTCTCCCCTCCTGGCCTCCATTTCAGAAAAGCCCGCGTCACGCCGCTCGGGTGATGAGTGGATGAGACACCGGGACGCGCGCTGCTCTCCTGTTTACACTTAATCCAAAAATAATCCGCACTTTGACAGCTGCCTTCTGAGCTCACGACGCGAACACGGCTAACGTTACTGGACCGCCAGTAGCCGCAATACTGGAGTGTTGAATAGCAAACGATCCCGAGGAAAAGTGATTGGGCCGAGGCTTTGAGGTCCTTCAACGCCGCACAGATGTCCAGCATGGCGCCTGAATGAAAATATGCTCATTGGTACACAATTAATTATTTATCAGAGGCTGTGCAGTGCGACACTATTAGAATAGAGACAACATGTATGTTTATTAAATAGTATCAGGAGAGACACTATACGTGCTTATTATTATTATTATTATTATTATTACCACTAGTACTACTACCACTGATCTATATAATGACATATAGATCAGTGACTACTACACATTTGAATGCTATTATTGTAAAAAATATTAATTATTGTTGTTGTTGTTGTTGTTATTGTTAACATTACCATTTAGTAAACACATTATTATTATTATTATTATTATTAATGTATCCATAATGTATATTTTTGATGATGATTCTGGTTATTCCAGTATGTTGACACTTTTCCTCATGGTACATTATCGACTGAAACAAGTTGTAGAAGATTTGAATATATGAATAAATTATGATTATTTCTTAATTATGACATCTTCGTATTATTATAATAATTTTATAAATAAACACAGACTTTCAACGAACCATTTTGTGCACTTAAAAGCACCATGAAGATGAATAAGAAACAAGCTTGTTTCCATACAACACAAATTGTATTTTCAATATGTTCTTCCGTCTCCTCCTAGTGGCATTAAACGTGTATGCCATACGATTAATTCATAAATAAATAAATATATATATATATATATTCACACTAAATGACCTTTTACCACAAACCACATTAATAGAATGTACTAAATATGGTGCATACTACATTTTAAACATACATATACATATACACAGTATTATTAACAATTAATTATTATTACAATACATTAACAGGTTACAACCAAAATCTATATCCCAAATATTTAGGTCTATCTTAATCTTTTTAGAAAAAAAAAAGTTCTTTATTCAATAATTTCATAAAATTTAGGTTATCTGCAGCTTATATGAGTAATCCAAAAAGTTATCTGGTTATTTTAGTATATGTTCCTGTTTGAATTGAGATCATGATTGTCTTTGCCATTTTTATTATTTATTCTATTTTCTATTTATTATAATATATTAAAATTAAGCCGTTCGTATGGAGCTACCTTTTTGTTAATAGTTTGAAACTCTTTTATCAAAACCCTATTGACATTACTGCAAGCTTGATAAGCTATGTCTACAGGACATACAGGTGCATCTCAATAAATTAGAATGTCGTGGAAAAGTTCATTTATTTCAGTAATTCAAATCAAATTGTGAAAGTCGTGTATTAAATAAATTCAATGCACACAGACTGAAGTAGTTTAAGTCTTTGGTTCTTTTAATTGTGATGATTTTGGCTCACATTTAACAAAAACCCACCAATTCACTATCTCAACAAATTAGAATATGGTGACATGCCAATCAGCTAATCAACTCAAAACACCTGCAAAGGTTTCCTGAGCCTTCAAAATGGTCTCTCAGTTGTGTTCACTAGGCTACACAATCATGGGGAAGAATGCTGATCTGACAGTTGTTCAGAAGACAATCATTGACACCCTTCACAAGGAGCCACAAACATTCATTTTGTTTCAAACCAGTATGACTTTCTTTAATGAAACACAAAATATGACATTATGGTAGAATGCTGCAGTCCAAACAATTTCGACTGGACACAAAACATTTTTTTTTTCAAAATATGCTCTTGTGTGTTCCACAGGTAAAAGTCATACAGGTTTGGAATGGCATGAGGGTGGGAAACGGATAACAGAATTTTTATTTTGGGGTGAACTATGCCTTTAATAAAGTGTAATAGGCAGTAAATATACAGGGAAGGGACACTGTGATGAGAACACTTTGAAATATTGAGGAAATGCCAGAGTACAGAGTGTTCTTAATCCTGTCACATACCACAGTTACATGCGCATGGGCTTTTAATATTGCACTGAAACATTGTGAAACTTATGTCAACCTATTCCTGATGTACCCCCTCCCCCCAACCCTTCCTTAGCACATGTATATTGTCTAAATTTGAACATTCACATCATGTGTGACGTACTGTAACTCCACACTGGAGTAAAATCCACTTTATCTCGCATGCACAATCGCAGTCCTTCTCTTCCCCTCACTCGCTCAGGTAAATTTTCATCCTCTCAAAATTAGGGTGAGCACTAACAGAAAATAAAAAACATTTTACTCCAGTTTTAATACGGGTTGATTCATTGTAGTGTTATATTTTGTTTTCTATACTTAAACATTCTGGCAAAACCAGACAGAAATGCTCAAAGCTTCCTGCTCTCAGGTTCGAGAAAGTCACACGATCAATCGGCGGAAGGCGTATCCTACAAAACTCCAGAGACTTGCATCCTGCTGCTCGTTTTCTGTTCTTTTTATTTGTTCTCGTTGTGAGAGAATGCATTCCTGTTGGTTGAGGAAGAGGAGCAGGACGTAAACACGGTGTAGTCGTCATAACGGCATCAAAATGACTCAATGTTGTTTGCGTATCGGTTCTATATTCAGTAGTTCCATAATGCTTTAAGTACTTCCTTCGATTTGTTTACTATATATCCAAATATGAAATATTTTACATGGTAGCTCCTTGATTTTTCTTCTTGTATATCCAGTAGATGGTATCGTATGTCACGTTGCATTGTATTTATTTTGCGTAACTTGTTCAGGTCCATCCTGCTGCCAGGCAACCACTCAGTGAACAAGCCATGCCTCCCGTAGCCACAACCCCACACAGCGTCTCGTAGTGGTGTGGAGCAGAGGCAGGGCAGAGTTTAGAGGTTGTCTGACAGCTTGACTTTCTATGGGATCTCCCAGAAGCCCTTCCTTCTGTCAGAGTATGACGCAGCAGCGGCAGAGACGCTGACCACCTCCGTGCACTGAAGGAGGAGGTGTGACCGGGGCAAAGTATGCGTGGACCTTGATCTCAGGAAGGTGAGCCTACAGGAGAAACAACAGCAGAATGAGCCAGAAGGCAGAATATGACATAACAACTGGATTGAGTCATTTTTCTCGACAATCTAAAAATAAATAAATATATCCTATCGCTTGTCAGGTTTGGTCTAGACCAGTGTTTCTCAACCCTGGTCCTGAGCGCCCCCCAACACTGCACATTTTGTATGTCTCCCTTTTCTGACACACCCATTTCAGGTCCTGGAGTTTCTTTTAATGAGCTAATGAGTTGAATCAGGTGTGTTTGATTAGGGAGACACACAAAATGTGCAGTGCTGGGGGGCGCCCAGGACCAGGGTTGAGAAACACTGGTCTAGACCAAAACTCAAGATTAACGCAGAAGACTTTAAATGTAAGAATTAAATAGAAAAAGTCTGTAGTAAAGCAATATTGTATAGTGAAGCAAGATAAGTCCATTACTAACCAATATTTTTAATAGTTTTATTTCTACTTTTTGATAGAATAAAATAAGACTGCTTCAATAAAACAATTTGAATTATAGATTTATTGATAATATATGTATATATATGCGTGTGTATAAACACCCACTATTATAATGGTTAATATAATTGATGTATGCTACAGTGAAAAAACAAATGTTGCAGTCTTTTATTCATCTTTTTATTGTCTATGTTCTGTAGGTTGCTTATCAGTATGGTACTTAGTACAAGCCATGGGTGAAATGGGTGACTTGCCAGATTTCCAAAATAGACAAATCCTGGGCATCCCATTTAGCAGGAGCATCTGTAACCCTAATGGCCCAATCGTTTGGTGTTTTTACGAGTCTTTACAATTATGACTGTGTACATGAAGCATGGCAAGACTGTATCAGCAAAAACTTCAAGTAAATCATAGATTGTGTCCAAACAACACAGAACTACTGCAGCAAAGTGACAGCAAACCTCAATATTCAACTGGAACACCGTTTTCTAAAAAAAACTGACCACAGAGAACTTCACAACATTTATGAAAAAGCTGCCATTTCTAAAACCTTAATCACAGGCACCAATGCAAAAAAAAAAAAAAAAGTGTCTTTATCACAAAACCTGGACAGTTGGAGCACCAAACCAAAGTCCCTCGAAGGCAAGTCATTTCACTCGGCGGCCATGTTTGAAACGCCTCTCTGGCAGCTATTTCAGTCATGTAAGAGCAGCTCCTATCTCTTTGAACGGGGAAACAAAGTTCTCCAAAACCAAGCTTACAATTTAATTTTATATTTGAAATAACCAATAAAATCTGATGACCGCCGTCACATTAATGTTGTTTCTTATGCTCAAATAGTGTCAAAAAAAGCTTATTTCTCAGGTTAGACCAGCTGATGCACATGTGCAATCCTAAGCGTGCATCTCAGAACGTTAAATGATTCTATCTGCCTTATTTTTTCCCGTAAGAGCGGCGCGGGCATTTGTAAATGTAATGTGTGTGGTTTTCCGGTCTCATTTGCTTCCAGCTATTTTTAGCTGTACAAAACCGCTTGTTTTGCTGCTTGATAATGCAAACTGGTGTGTCTTACCATATTATTTTAATGTGTTGTCTTAATTATGAACACAATGGTTTGTAGTGCAAACAGTTTTACCGTTTACTGCACTTTGTTATTCTTCTCGCTATTTCCCTACAGCAGCTAATGAACCAGAAGTCTCACACATTCACAGAAAACGGAAAACTTCTGCAATGACAAATAAGGTGGATAGTAACCGGAGCTTCTAACGGCAGCTGCAGTGACACAATGACACAATCATTGTTCAAAGACACAATCTTTGTACATCTAAAGTCTTTGACCAGACTGAACCTCAACATCTGCCCTGGTTAGACAAATCATGTGACCCAACCACTGTGGGAGGGTTTTGAGACGAAATGAGAATCCGATTCCCTCCTCCAACATCTCTAAAACAACTGGCAGATGTTCTGATAAACGACAATCACCTGGAGACTATTTAAAAGTTGTATGAATCTATTCTAACAAGGTTAGAATCTGTATTAAAGCCAAATGGTGGTAAAACACTTTAATAAATAAATATTGCCTGTTTCCCAAGTGTTCAATATATTTATGCAAAGTTGTTTTTCTTAAAATAAGTCTAAAATGTCTCAATTAAAAATCTGTAAGTATTACTAAATAAATAGTGTCAAAAAAAGCTTATTTCTCAGGTTAGACCAGCTGATGCACATGTGCAATCCTAAGCGTGCATCTCAGAACGTTAAATGATTCTATCTGCCTTATTTTTTCCCGTAAGAGCGGCGCGGGCATTTGTAAATGTAATGTGTGTGGTTTTCCGGTCTCATTTGCTTCCAGCTATTTTTAGCTGTACAAAACCGCTTGTTTTGCTGCTTGATAATGCAAACTGGTGTGTCTTACCATATTATTTTAATGTGTTGTCTTAATTATGAACACAATGGTTTGTAGTGCAAACAGTTTTACCGTTTACTGCACTTTGTTATTCTTCTCGCTATTTCCCTACAGCAGCTAATGAACCAGAAGTCTCACACATTCACAGAAAACGGAAAACTTCTGCAATGACAAATAAGGTGGATAGTAACCGGAGCTTCTAACGGCAGCTGCAGTGACACAATGACACAATCATTGTTCAAAGACACAATCTTTGTACATCTAAAGTCTTTGACCAGACTGAACCTCAACATCTGCCCTGGTTAGACAAATCATGTGACCCAACCACTGTGGGAGGGTTTTGAGACGAAATGAGAATCCGATTCCCTCCTCCAACATCTCTAAAACAACTGGCAGATGTTCTGATAAACGACAATCACCTGGAGACTATTTAAAAGTTGTATGAATCTATTCTAACAAGGTTAGAATCTGTATTAAAGCCAAATGGTGGTAAAACACTTTAATAAATAAATATTGCCTGTTTCCCAAGTGTTCAATATATTTATGCAAAGTTGTTTTTCTTAAAATAAGTCTAAAATGTCTCAATTAAAAATCTGTAAGTATTACTAAATATTGAAGAAATTAAATTGTATTCAATTAATGTTTGAGGGGACGGCATTTATAGGCAGGCTCTGTATTAAACTGCTGCTAACTGATTTACTAGAAAAGTGCAAATGTGTGTATAAAAAAAAAAAAAGCTGGCTCCGACTGCAAGTAACCACAATTGATATGAACACAAATTGCTGTTCAGCAAAACAGGACACAGTTTACTCCCAAAATGACACAGCAACCAATGAAATTAAAAATAAGGCCCTTTTTGACATTTGATTGTAGATTGTAATGTGATCAGTATGAAACTGAAAAAGTGACATAATTAACATTTTCGTGACTGATTATTGCTGTCAAGTACTCATAAGTATTTACACGCTTACTTGCCAGCACTGTAAACAGACACTGCACATTTGAATCTGCGCATAAGTGGGGATCATTTTTGTCTGTATGTGGTTGCTGCATTTGAGACTATGTGTGGGAGTTGTGACATATCTAGCGATTATTTTCCACAGACCCGGATTCGTTTGATGCCCGCACGGGTGACCTGCTGGCAGTCATAGAGCTCAATGCGTTCCAGATGCTGGCAACTCTTGAGATGCTCCAGTGTGATGTCTGTGATCAAGGGGCAGTTGTCCAGCTCCACGACCTGCAGACGCTCCTGACCACACACACTGCTGCTCAGGTGTCTGATTCCATCATCTGTTATCAACTCACAGTGAGACAGACTCTAGAAAACACACACACATATATATGCCCAAGTGAGCAGGCTACAAAGAGTGAGCTTCAGAAAACAAATGGACATGCTTTATAATTCCTTTACAGAAAGCCATAAGCAAGTAACCACAATTGATATGAACACAAATTGCTGTTCAGCAAAACAGGACACAGTTTACTCCCAAAATGACTCCTTAAAAATAAGGCCCTTTTTGACATTTGATTGTAGATTGTAATGTGATCAGTATGAAACTGAAAAAGTGACATAATTAACATTTTCGTGACTGATTATTGCTGTCAAGTACTCATAAGTATTTACACGCTTACTTGCCAGCACTGTAAACAGACACTGCACATTTGAATCTGCGCATAAGTGGGGATCATTTTTGTCTGTATGTGGTTGCTGCATTTGAGACTATGTGTGGGACTTGTGACATATCTAGCGATTATTTTCCACAGACCCGGATTCGTTTGATGCCCGCACGGGTGACCTGCTGGCAGTCATAGAGCTCAATGCGTTCCAGATGCTGGCAACTCTTGAGATGCTCCAGTGTGATGTCTGTGATCAAGGGGCAGTTGTCCAGCTCCACGACCTGCAGACGCTCCTGACCACACACACTGCTGCTCAGGTGTCTGATTCCATCATCTGTTATCAACTCACAGTGAGACAGACTCTAGAAAACACACACACATATATATGCCCAAGTGAGCAGGCTACAAAGAGTGAGCTTCAGAAAACAAATGGACATGCTTTATAATTCCTTTACAGAAAGCCATAAATAACAATGGAAGCAATACTCCCACACACTCTCTCTCAAACACTCACCAGCGCCTGCAGCCGAGGGCAGTGGATTGAGAGCTGAACCAGAGTGTTATCAGTCACCTGAATGGCACGTACAGACACAGAACATTAATATTAGAATGCTGACTAATCCTGATAAATTGTTGCAAGGGAACAGTCACAGCTCAACAGCAGTAAAAAGAAAGCCAAAGAATATTTTGGCTTTATAGTAGAGGTAGACTTTGCTGAAAATTTGACCTGTGCTGGTAGCACAAGTTTTTTCACCTTTTCATTGTAATAAATTACATACATTTAGAATATTTAATGATTAATTAGAATATCAAAAATTAATTTAGAAAATAAACAATTTGGATAAATTGTTTACATTTTTCATTGTTTTACATCGTTTCTTTTTTCAGTTGTTTTACTATTTAAATTTGGTTGTAGGCTGCCTTGTGACAACTTACCCCATATAAATACAACACCATTCAAAATTTTGGGGTTAGTAAGATTTTCTTTCTTTAAAGAAATTAATACTTTTATTCGGCAAGGATGCATTTAATTGATTGAAGTGAAAATAAAAGTTACAAAAGATTTATATTTCAAATAAATCACAATTTCCAAAAAGAAATATTAATCAGCACAACGTTTTTCAACATTGATATTAGAAATGTTTCTTGAGCAGCAAATCAGCATATTAGAATGATTTCTGATCATGTGACACTGAAGAACGGAGTAATGGCTGCTGAAAATTCAGCTTTGCATCACAGGAATAAATTAAATTTTACTGAAATAGAAGTGTATATTTTAAGTGTATTGGTGTCCAAACCCATAGTGGACGTTCTCGAGTGCACTCATTCAATCCTTTAGTGTATTTATTCAAATAAATTCAGGCTGTATCCGAAATCGCCCCCTATACCCTCAAAGAGGGCACTATTTGAGGAAACAGCCTTTTTTAGTGGTGTCCAAACCCATAGTGGACGTTCTCGAGTGCACTCATTCAATCCCACAATGCACCACAAAAACGAGTGTACAACCGATGTACACTCAACAGCTAGAGATAACCCATAATGCACTGTGAGAGTCGCACGCCAAATGAATTCCCGCGTCTATCACGCCAGACAATGGCGCCTGCAGCTGAATCATCCATTCATTTTACAACACGCTCGTCCACGGCGTAATACAACACGGGTACAAATTCACTGTAAATCATTTGTAATCTTACTACTGGAGCTGCCCGTTTCAAATGATTATTACAGCAAGCAAACTATGCGAAAGAGGCAGACCTTGCAGTACACTCGGTGTCCGAATTCACTCACTCGTTTTCATTCACTCCTTCAAGTGAACTGTATGAGTGGACTAACCTAGGAAATAGTGAATGAGGGTATAGGGGCCGATTTCGGATACAGCCTCAGTCTTTATGAGCATAAGGAACTTTTTTCAAAAACATTTAAAAAAAAATCTTACCAAACTTTTGAATGATAGTCTGTATTTATTTTATATTAATATTTACAATATTATCAGCTATAATAAATATATAGCACATTACATATTATTTCTTATCATTATTTATTTGAAGATGCTAATAAAAATAACAAAATTTTATCCTTCAACGCACAAAAAAAAACAAACTTGTCCATGATGACTAGGAACGATACACCAAATAACTTCTTAGGAATTTTAAACTCACCAAAATACATTCCTCTAAATCCATCTTCTCCAAATCATGACAATTCTAAAACAGAAGGCATAGTTTGTTTAGGAATCCTCCAACATCAGCAATGTCTTCTAACACAAAGCATGCTCTCTAAATTCAATGCGTTTATGTTTTGTTGATTTGGGGTGTTTGTGTGATTACTCACTCTGGCAAGAACAGTAAAACCAGCATCAGTCACATGTGAGCAGCGAGCAGCCTCCAGGATCCTGAGGAAGACACATGCAATGTGAATGAACGATTCTGTGTGGGTATGTGTGCTTATCTGCGTACAGATGAAGAAAGCTTTACTTGATCTGTAGGCAGTTGAGGCCGAGGGCAGTCAGAGAAGCATCTGTGATGTTGCTGCAGCCAGACACACAAACCATCTGCAGTTTGTGACAACCGCGGCACAAACTCACAAAGCCGTCATCTGTGATTTGCTGCAAGATGGATAAAGCATCTTAGTTATGTCCAACAAATTTACATTGTGTGTATTTGCAATATTTAACAACAGCATAGTAATAAGTCAAAGTCTTACTGTGCATGATTGCATGTTGATTGTCATGAGCTCAGGACAGTGCTTTTGAAGGTGCTTCAGTGCAGCATCATCAAGCTGAAATGGCACATTTAACAATTATTATGTTACACTGTCAATGATTTCTCTCAAAGTGTTTTGTGTAAGCGTGTGTTTGTATAGATGTATGCACCTGTGTGCAGCCTCTCAGAAACAGAGCTCTGAGACTTGTGCAGCCACGGCTGAGAGCCTCGATGCCATCACTCGTGATCTGATCACACCAGGACAGGTTCAGATTCTCCAACATCCGACAGCCCTCACTAGCAGACAAAAAGAGCCAATAAGAGAATATTAAGCAAACAAAATGTTAAAAAATAACTTAAACGGATAGTTTACCCAAAAATGAAAATGACCCCATGAGTTCCAGCGGATGACATAGGATGTAGGCATAGCGTAAGTCTCGTGAGAACCAACGTTTGTTTAAAGGAAGCAAAGTTTCCTTACTTTAGCAAAGGAAAAACAGTCTTCTCTTGGCTTTGATATCCGCTGACATTTTTCTTTACAAATCCTTGCTTTTTACTTCTAATTTCTAAAATCTCCAGTATTTTCTAAATCTCCAGTGTTTTGTTTTGCTCTCTCCTCTGCACTTCCATGTTTGTCACTTCTCACCGGAGCTTACGCTAAGCCGACGTCCTACGTCATCCGCCGGAACGGTGCTCTTTTGTGAACGAGAAAGAGATTAGTGTTTATAAAGTTTTTAATATGGATATTTTTCTTACAAAAAAAGCACTGATTCACTACAGGAGGCCTTTATTCAGCCCCCCGGAGCCATGTGAGGCAGTTTTTTATTATGGATTGATGTGCTTTATTGGACTTCTTTTGGACTACTGAAAAATAACAGCCATTCACTGCCATTATAAAGCTTGGAAGAGCCAGGATGTTTTTAAATATAACTCCGATTGTATTCGTTTGAAAGAAGAAAACAACATGTCTTTAAACAACATTTATCCATGCACTATCCAAAACTAGCAAACACAAAAAAAAACAAAATAGTGTTATTTAAAAGAAAAAAAAAAAAAGTTAACTTTTAAACCGCTAACCAGTAGAGTAAAAAAAACAATACTCAATCGGTTAAAAAAAGATTTTTGATTACAAAAAAAAACAACAAAAAATACTTTCTTTTCTCCATTTTTTTCAGTTATAATAAACTCCTCTTATGAGGATCAATAAACCACTAAAATTTGTTTCCAAAACTTTTAAATAATAATAAATGTAAATATAATATAAATATTTTCTTTTTAAAATGTACTTTCTGAATTTCAAACCATACCATGCATGTTAAGATCTGGGAATATAAACAGCAATCTAACAATGAGTTAATAATTGCTCTTCGTCTCCGTTTAAATATTCCTGTGTACATTCATCAGAATTTCCTGTTTCACCAGCTCATACAGAATAATCTACTACAACTGTGGAAAAGATTCATTAGAAGAAATGTGACAGAGGTGACAAGACTCATAATCATTAACAAAGCCAACATCCTGACACAATTCAATCAAAACTAGGCTTTGATTTAACACTCCCAGTTAAGTTTTAAATATTCCATAAAATCAAAATCACAGTTTTGCATTTTTTAGTCCATGTGTTTAAAATTGGAGTCTTTAACTCCTGACAAAATGAAGCAATTTTACACTCAGGCCAATGATTTTCTGTCCAATAAACATCATGCCATTTAACATTAATTACACAATCAAAACAAATAACCCAGCCCTAAATTTGGTCCCCAAGACCTTATGACTGTCCCACCTTAAGGCCTTAAGTGCATGATTGGTGATGGACACGCAGGATGTCAGGTCAAGTTGGCGAAGTTTGGAGCAGAACTTGCTAAGGCTGATGCAGGTGGAGTCTGTGATCTTGGTGCAGCCATTGAGGTTCAGATGTTCAATGTTGCGACAGTTCTGAGCAAAGGTCCTGCCAAATCAAAGGAAACCTCTCAGCTGACAATGTTAAACAGAAAAACTACACAATAAAAATGGTAAACATTGTGCAAACAACAACAGCAACAAAAAATCCTTACACCATCTCCTAACCAGCCGCAATATGACATTTCCAGCGACAAGACATTTGTCACAGTGAAAGCTAAACTGCTGCACAATCCAATTAGCTATTTGAAAGATATTTGTTATCTAATATGCAATTAAATGGAAAGGGACCAATAATATTCATAATGGGCGGGGCCATTCAAAAGTGCTCTACAAAACACCACATATCACAGCCAGTTAACGACAAAAACCGATTTACTGAGATAGTTTTAATACCTTGCTACTTTTGAGTTGCTTAAATGCAGCCAAATGCTATTTTATACTTTGATTGGACAATTTCATTATTGCATGAACTGTGCCATCCTACAGTGCATGTTTTAATTAACAAAAAGTAATGCGGCTCACTTCATGGAGGCATCTGCCACACTGAGGCAGCCCCGAAGACTGAGCTGCCTCAAAAACCCCCCACATCGCTTTGAGATGTTCTCCACGACACGTCCCTAATAGAAAGACACAGAGAGAGAGAGCTCAGGCACAGAGGATCAGGGATGACGTTACAGTCTATGGATTCCATAGAAAAGCCTACTGACTCAGTGTTAATCCCACACACATAACGCCCACAGACAGACAATTTAAAGCACACAGCAACATATCACTGATGAAATACTGATACATACAAAGCAAAAGCCGATAACACACAGGACTGTGTCCGCAATCACAAACCAAAACATTTACTTGACACGTGCTTTTTCACCTCAATATCTGTCTGAAAGTTGAAAAGATCAATCTTCTGCCAGTTACTTCCATCTAATGCAAGAACATTCCACGCCTGTTTATCCACAGAGAAAAGAACGAAGTATTGTTAGAAAACTATTTTAATACTAGACAGTTTCGTTTAATTTTAACTAAACAAGCAATTGAACATACCTTGGATACTTGGGCACACCTACACAATGTCACTACATCCAGGAAAGAGAAAATCCTGAAATAAAAACAGATTTTTGATTACTTGTTTATTATTCAGTTTTTTTTCCTCTCTACTCACTTTCTGTAATGTTTTGACAGTACATACAGAAGTATGTCAGGCTAATAAAGCTATTTTAATTTGAAAACTAAAAACATTCAGATAGACATACAGACATGCAAGTTAGACATACAGACAGAACAATAGATGGAATGATAGAATAATAGACAGACCAACAAATAGATAGGAAGATAGTCAGACAGATAGATAGATATTCACAAAATGTATTACAACGTAATCTGGCATGTATTGCAATAAGAGTCATTCATTCTGATGGCTCACCTGAGCAGAAGCTCTTTGGGAAGTTTTTTGTTGATTAGGGCCTCATCACTGTTTGAGAACACCTGGACAATATGACATGACACAGATGAATTACACAATAAAGCTCATACAGCACCAGTTATGCTCATGCACAATCAATATGCTCAAAGCTGATTCAGACACGCCTCGGCCTGGTGCAACTTCACCCATAACACTTGCACAAGAAGGACAAGTAGCATCAGCGAGTGTCTTAGATAACTGCTGCTTTGTGACATCTTCTCAAGACCTCGCATTCAGGGCACGTCAGCGAGCCAATCAGCTTGATCTAAACTCCAAGAACACCAGCCAACTCTAACGTTAAACGGATTCAGGCGCAGCGCCCGTTGCTGACACGGTCAGCTGGTGCCGTTGTGTTAGGACGGGATTACCCTTGACGAACAAAAGCCTAAACACGGCACGTAAAAATAGAGCCCTGCTCGGTCCAAAACACACACACAGTACCCTTGCAGAGACGCAGAGACGCAGACACACACACACACACACACACACACACACACACACACACACACACACACACATACACACACACACACACACGAGCGAGCGCGCGCCCACCAACACAAACAGACGCTTAAACACACTGTCATCGCTCAGACAGCCTGCCACCGCCCGTTTTCATTTCCTCGGGCAAAATATCACAGTTCGCTCGATATGAGTTACCTCAAATCTGCTCTTGGTGATGCCGTTCATGTCTGTTGCAGTGTCAATAATAAAGACAGTCCTCGGCGAGCGCTGCACACAGCGACGTTTGCGCGTATTGTCAACGCTGGCGATCAAACTATAGTGAGACAGACGCGCAGCTGTAACGTGTGGCGTGCTAGCCGTAGGTGTCTGCGCTGGTAACCGGAGAAATCCCGGGCTGGCCGCCGTCCGTGAACCATCACACAGCCAAAATAACAATAATAATATGGACGGAGCAGACTGCTGCTCTAACCTCACTTCCGCCTCCCGAGCTGCCTCTCTGACTACATTTCCGCTCGAGCGCAAATTCTTTCCTGGCTGAAGTGAGTGCTGCTTAATCTTTAAACGACGCCAATAAAATGCCAGGGCTGTCTGGCAAATAAACTTAAAGAATAGCACTGGAGTTGAGAACGCGCTCGTGCGCTCCAGGGGTTCAAACTAGTGGCTGCCCTGACGTCACTTTTGCGGGAAAACAGGCGTGGTGGGTTTGTTTTGGTAATGATGTATGAGGTTGCATAGGTGTGTCGTGGTTAACACACAAATGGAAGTGTAGGGAAGTGAAAAGTGACACTTTATTCATACAGAATTAAATGTCATCGACTATATATTGGCACAATGTCTCAATGTTAGCAGAGCAGATGTGCATTCATGCTTATGTGCAAATATGGACACTGTGTCATAATTGTAATCGCTTTAGTTTCAAAGCATCTAACCAACACAGACAAGTAAAACATTTCCACAATAAACTATATTTACGTATTTGTATTTAATTTAAATGTCCTTGTTTTGAAAGTCTCTATTAACATCAAATGTTAAACTGTAACCAGTATACTGAAACCAATTAGCTGAGACTGTTAAATACAGCTTTATTGTTGATTGGTAGTTGAATAGTCATAAAATGATTGCTGTCTGTTTACACAAGTTTGTCTGTCTTCAGCTATGCCATGATGACATGCAAAAAATGTACTATGTACTTTGGAAGTCTAAATTAAATAGAAAAGCAGTGTATTATTAGGCTATATCTGGGAAATGCAACTAAATTCAGAAATACTTCAGTAAGGTACAAAATCTCTCTCAAAAAGAGATTTTTTTTGTGTGTTTTTTTACAGCCCTGAAAAATCAGACAGTCTGAATGTCATAAAATGCTCATTTCTGTATATGAATAGACAGTGTTTTTGCAATGCAGTATTCCTGGTCAACAGCAGAGGGCGAAAGAGAGCCGCATTGCAGGTGACTTTTGATCTTTCATGATTTTTCAGTCTGTGAACGGCGCTTGAATATTTTCTCATTAATAATTATTCAGCTATTGAACAGTCTTTAAGTATATCCCAGTTAGTCATTATTCAGCTATCACGTTTAGTAGGACTGTAGGTACTTCCCGGCAAGAGATGCAGTTTGTGTAGATATGGCTAAAAACTCGTTCTTTCTGCATCAGTTTGAGGCTGGAAAAGGTTACAGAACTAAGGAGTTTGGTCTTTAAAATGGAAGAAGGGAGGAACTTTAACATAACTGTTACTCTAACTAGGAGTGAAATCCAACAAAAATCACTCCAAGAGCAAGATTCCAGAAGGTTCCAAAGAACCCCAGAGTAATATCAGCATCTACAGGCCTCTCTTGCTTTGGCTAAGGTTGTCCAGGAGGCCACCATCAGGGACTGAACAAGAATGGTGTGCATGGCAGGACAACAAGATGGAAGCCAAGAACATTGCTACCAGTTTGCCAAAGACTGTGTGAATGAGCCAGAAGACTATGAAAAGAATGTTTTGTCAACAAATGAATGTCAGAAATAGAACGGATTGATATAAAAATAAGTGTACAATTTGACCAAAAAGCCCCAGCTAACGGGACATTCTCAGAATTTTGGCTAACATTCTGGGCAAGGTTCTTTCAAAGTTAAGAACAAACATGATTCCAGTAGCATTAAATGAACGTTTATTTAAAGTGATCTGGTCTTTAATAACGTTCTCAAAACGTTAGCACAAATTATTATGTTATAATACATCATTAATGGAATGTTTTTCTGAAACATTTTAGTTGGATGTTCATTACTACAGGTTTCAAAATGTTCCGAGAACATTCAAAAGTAGCATTTCCATTGCAAAGTGATAAAAAGTCAGTGTAGTTCAAATGTATGCACGTTCACAAAAGTTCTAGCACGATGTGTGTGCCGGCTTTAAGCTGTAATTGCTTGGCTAATACCTTGACTAAATAATAAGGTAAGGAATTTAGGATCACACATAGCTCTGTTATTGAAGTAAATAACATTAGAAGCGGTTCAGAAACACTCAGCCTGAGCTGGCCACAATCCTGCCACTTACTCACTAAAAAACAAACATACTTGCTAATTCACGCTCACTATCTCTTTCTCCAGCACAGACGTACACATAAACGCCTTTACAATTAAATGAATGTGAGTGGGAGTGTGTGTATGGGTGGTTGTAGTGGGCCAAGACACCCATTATGCTTTCGCGTCACATAGTGTCCAACAGCGCCCATATTGGGCAGCTTCATCAAAGTTACTGTGTCCTGAGTTTGGCCTCAAGAATTTGGGACACAGACACACAGTTGGTTTTGTCCTCCTCGTTCTGAACTGACATGCAGCCAGGAGCGCTATGGTGACAAAGACTCACCACAATTAAGGGTCCGGTCCTAAAAAAGAAAAAAAAAGCACATTACACGGTGGCAAACTTTCCTCTGATGGAAACCATTATGAGCCGGACTCCCCACGGCACTGGAACAGTCCCAGTGCTTGGAGCATCTGGTCTCATGCGGTACTGCACAGGTTCTGAGTCATGACGTATTTACTGACAACGCCGTGCGAGTTTTCGCACGAGCGCACGAGCAGCTCGGTAATGTACTTCTTGGTCAGATAAACCTCCCCTTGCACCTCTGTCACTGCGCCTATTAGTTCTTTTCTCTCGGCTACCGGAATCATCGGACCTGTCCGTTTGGAGAGCGCAATTCAATTGGGATTTTTCACCTTTCCTGGCAGATTTGGAAAAGTTTTACCTCCGTTTTTTTCCAGAAACACTGTTTCATTATGGGGCGAGCCTGTCACCGAGAGCTCGCGCTCCTGCAGCTGCTGGGATACTTGGCTTGCCTGACGCGCGCGGACGGTGGGTTTCTCTTGTTGATCTGGTTGCGGTCATTTGTTTCACGCGCTGCAATACACATTTACGCGAGGTGATGAATGGGCGCATGCGTGTGTCCAGCTTCCAAAAGATTAGAGCGTTGTTTGGATGGTGTGTGGTTATAAATCTTTGTGTGTGTGTATAGTTGTATATTCTTTTTAAAGTAGTTTTATCATTTTGAAAGTAATTTTTGTAATTTCTAGTTTCTTTTAATGTCTATATTAAAATTGTATTACATTTTATTACAGCTTGAATTTGAGTTATTTTGGTACATAAAGTTAAACTAAATGAAAATGAGAAAATCTGAAATAAAATAAGTTTCACTTTCTAAATATATATATATATATATATATAATGTATAAATATATATAAATGCATGGGTCAGTGATCCGTCTTGTTCATTCTATTAAGTTATTTAAAAATACTTTAAAATCAGTTTATACAGTGACTTGAATATATTCAATTTGTTTTAATAATTTTCTTATGCAACTTAAAGTTAAAAAAAGTCTAGATGGTGTCTGGAGGCTCATTCGAAGACTGAAATTCTTGAGAAAAAAGAGAAAATGATAGTCTGTAATAAGTATTATCAAATGAATCTTTTGTTGTTGTAAAATATTAATATTTAAAATAATTTGTCAGCCAAATTCAAAGTCAGTCTGGCGTATCCAACATGAAAGAAACCAGTTTGTTGTCATGTGACAAGAGAACTATACAACTGATAGGACCCCTTTAGATGTTTCACTGTGTGTCAGTATGATTTTTAAGAAAAACCACATATTCTCATATTTTTAAAGAACTGAATAGTTCAAGTCAAATGAAAGAAAACTTCGGGGGGGAAATGGCTTATGTGTTTTTGGTCTGTTGTTGTAGGCTTTTTAAATTATTAATTTTTTTTACTGCAATCCAAACACAACATAAAGCATCTATCCTATTTTTATCTCATACTTTTAGCGTCTTAGAGGCTAGTTAAGTATGTTAGAGTATGTTTAACTGGCCTTTCTCACACATGTACTGTAGTCTATACATATTTGCTGTCATACTTTCCTTTTTAGTTGTTAGTGGAGTCAAAATCCTTTACCTAAAGATCTAATTCACTTAATGAATTTCATGTTCATCCACCACAAACCCCTGATATCTTCACATCAGCATAACAGACTCATCAATATGACACTAATGAATTTGTAACAAACGATTGATAAATGACGGGTTGTTTGTGGTGGGTCTGCTTGATTAGTCAGACTTCTGAACATGACTCAGTCTGGATTTACCTCACTGACACCAACCTGCTAACTTTATCTGTTCCAATTCAAATTGATCCCAAATGATGATGTTAACTGATGTGTATTTATTAGACATGGAGGCATGAGACATTATTCTATTATGAGGGGGGAAATGCTGCATGTTTGGTGACGTGCATGTAACCTCGGTTTAATTTTGATCTATAATTAGCTCAATTTCAGATGGTTTACACAGGAATTGACTCACTGAAGCTGCTATTTTTTTTCCTCTGTGTGAGACTGTGACAAACTAATGATGTTATTAAGGAGCTGCCTTATTTAAGATTTGATAGGATGCTGTCTGATGTGTGTACAATATAGTCTGCCAAGGTGGGGCTTGTGAAAAAATGGATTTATGTTTGTACCTTTTTTTTTTTTTTTTTTTTGCCAACAATGCCAAAGGGCGAAACTTTTAAATAATCTAAAGAAACGTTTTTGACTATAATCAGCTTTTTGTGCAGTTGAACAGTTCTACATGGAACCATAGCTGCTGATAAAGAACTTTTATTTTTTATTTTTAAGAGTATATGACGATTCATTTTGAACCTGATTTCTGTTTGTCTTTATATTGACTGTTTATCTCTGTTTTTTAACCCTTATTTGGTATAGCTTTACACCTTCACACTGCCAAAACACTTCTAAATACACTTTATACAGTAACCACCCTCACTCGACCCTATTCAGGTAATATCCTGCTGTTAAAAATTGCCTTTAGCCATACAAAGCTCTTTGGTGCTGTAATTCATAGCATTCATACCACCTGTAGATATCAACTTGCTGTGGTTATATCCTTGTATTCTCCTAATTTCTTGATTTCCTTCTCATTTCCCCTGTTTGAGGTAATGTATTCTCTCTAATGTAATGCTAAATGTGCATTCTAGGAGTAACACTGGTTTATTTTTTACCAGTCTCTCCATTAGGACGTGTGTTTTTACTGGAGTTGGAGAGTTTTCCAAAAGGTGGACAGGAGAAAGGGTTCGAGGCAGCAACACATGCCTGTATGGCTCAAGGGGCCC